CCAAGGACTTTAAACTACAAGGATAGCCAGATCCCGTATATTTGTTAGCATGACCTTGGATCTATGTGACGTCACAGCAAGTCCTCTACTTCAACATGACAGACCTTTCAAATAACAAAATACGATAAAATATTAAATCATTTCTTAATTAATTATTAAATTACTACTAAATGTAAACTACTGTAGAATTTTCGGATTTAATAAGTGTACTGTACGTCAATAAATTTACAAGTCTTGTGTAATATTTATTTAATCCAATCTCATCCTAATCGCCAAATATAAGATTCCCGCGAATAGTTCAATAATATTTCAATTTTAAAGTTAAATTCTAGATTGAGTAAGAAAGTAAATTTATTTTAATTATATATTTTATTTCTAACTTTATTATTTTTGCATTTATAAAAGTCGAAATTTTTTATGTACGATAATTTATAATTTTTGATATTTTTTTGTGATGATTTCGGTTTACGAAGATGGCGCTGATGTCGCACATGTGGGGAAGTAGTAATCGCATGCTTCCGAAAGATAAGATTATTAAATAAGGTAAAGTCGCTATTATAAGTAAAATTTCGATGTTCTGTTAATATGTATAAATTGATATGATAAATGAATTAATTTAAGTGATCACTTGGTGCTCTATTAATGGTCTATAAATTATTCAGTCCTTTATAAAAAAAAAAGGAACGATTTTAATCTGTTACAGTCACTTGCTATTTCTCTTGCGCGAGCCGTCTGGATCTTGAGCGAGCACTGGTTCTCGCCGACCCGGACCAGCGTTGCCAGAACTGAAGGTTAAAAAGTAGCGTGGTTGTGTTCCAAAAGTAGCGGATTTGAACTGTTTGTAGCCCAAACAATAAAAATGAATTATTTTGCAATTATGCACTTTTACTAATGAAATAAGTTTGTTATATATATATATATATATATAAATTCTATACTAATTATATATATATTTCGGTGTATCTGCATCAATTTTCTCTAAATCAAAGCAATTCATTCGCAGGCGAGGTGATTCATTTTTTGAACTTAGAGACTTAGCGACTACGGCTTTTGTTTTCAGTTTTAAGCCGCCCTGTTTCCATTGTATCAAAATTTAATAACTTTTGGATCACTTATTGGGAGAGAAAATTGGCAATTCCAACAGGATAATGCTGCCATTCATGCATCAATTAAAAATTGGTAGTAATGGTGCAAACTCAACAAATATCTAGTGTTGCCAGATCTAAAGTTACTAAAATGTAACAAGTTCAATACTCATTTAATACTTGTTTTAGTACTAAAAAGTACTAAAGAATTAGAGTATCGAACATGCTACATTTCAGTAAAACTATCGTTCATTGCAAATAGAAATATTGAACAAACAAAACTTTAAGTAAAATAAAAAATATAAAAACATGGCTGATGGTAATACATTTAATTTCATTACACTTAATTGTATAAATAAATATAAAGTTGCAACATTTAACAAAGATAAAGATACTTTACTTCCATTTTTCCTCTGTTGTTCACTTCAGTAGACAATTCACAACTTCACAAGCACGGAGGCGACCTTGCTTGTGAAATTATGGATTGTCTACTGGAGTGAACAACGGATGGAAAATCGAAGTAGAGTATCTTTATCTTTTGTTAAACATTGCAACTTTTCATTACACTTTACTAGTTTTGTATAGTACAAGAAATGTGTTGCCATTTTATATATGAAAATAAAAAAAGTAGCGTATTTTCAAGATTTGTAGCCTGAAGATAATTATTACTAGCCTAAAAAGTAGCGTGTCGCCCAATTTGAAATTTTTGTAGCGAGGGCACTTAAAAAGTAGCCCAATCAGCTACTTGTAGCTCAGTCTGGCAACCCTGACCCTGACCCGGACAGCAGGTCAGGTTTGTTCAAACAGAAGTTCCTGGCGCACATGCAATGTCACTTTACAATGCAAAGAATAATGTGCATGCCGGGCCCTTAGTCTCGAGTTTTTGTGTTGTACTCAAACTGACGTCATCAAACTCACTCACGTTACTATCACTCACATAATTGGTAGTCTTGAGTTAGACCAGTGTTTCTCAACGGGGGCAATTAGTAACAACTTATATTTTGGGGGAGTGAAAACAATTTTCTGGGCAATATAGTAAAACATTATATAAAGAATAATTAGATATTTTATTTATTATAACCTACAATAATTAAACAAATAACATTATACTATCTGTTCACTCTGTATCTGGACTGCTGTATGTTACTATGTATATAATTCGTCTCTGTAATCCAAAATTTTTGGTAGACAGACTCACAGCAAAACTTTTAGTTAGGAACTCACTTTTATTCTTTAAAAAATGACATATGCATTTCAAGTTGGTATACTCATCCAACCCCTCTTCAGTGCTAATTTTTCAAAAAACAATAAAAAGCTACAATAAGCAATACATGACACAAATACATTACAAAATATTACTACTTACTTACTCTTAAAGTATAAGTTGTGTATGGGCTACCACTACATCTAAACACCAACCATTTGTTTTCCATTTAAAATGCACTTGAAGTGTTTGCATACATCACTTCTAAAAACCAATATACGTTATGACTAAACTGTAAACTTAACAAGTGTATACGATAACCAATACATTACATACCTTTAAAATATAAATAGTATACGAACAATCAAACCAACTAGCAATACATTAGAATATCACTTTGTAATCAATCGCAATAACTTCATTATTTTATAACTATATAGCACCCTCTATCATTTTGTACCATCTAGAATCTATTTGCATCCCATCAGAAATATTTATTAAATTATTTTGGTTTTTCTTAATTTCTAAATGTTCTTTAAATTTACATTTATATATGTCCTTTTCATGGTGTAGAATTTTAATATTATTGCGATTAATTTTACATTTATTGTTTTCCTTGTGTTCGTACCATGGCGAATTTTTATATCTCAATCTGATAGCCGCTTCGTGTTCCTTTATTCTTACATCTAATACCCATCCAGTTTCTCCTATATAACTACATGGATTCATACAGTTACATTCTATTTTATATACAATACCTGTCTTTTTTAACAGATCTATATTATCAAGGTTACTTTTATTAATATATTTAGAAACATTATCTGTAATCTTATTAGTCAAAGATGGGGCCAAACATATATTGTCTTTCTTAAGGATTTTACTGATATTATCAAATATATCTTTTATGTATGGGAATTTTTTATACTGTTTTTCAGATTTATATTTTGTATTAAATCTATTTTTCAAGAAGTATGCTCTCCA